ATATATATTTTTAATATTTATTTTAAAAAATTTGTATTTAATTTAATTTAAGAAATGCATTTTATCATTTTTTTAATTATTTATATATGATTCAGTTTTATTTTTTTATTTTATATTAATATTTCATATTTGATATATATATATAAATATAAAGTAAATATTTTATAATATAATTATTATTACAAATAATATAATTTTTTTTATATATATTTTTATTTCTTATATTAATAAAAAAAATAAAAAAATATAATTTAATTATTTTAAAAATAAGGTTTATTATATTAATATTAAACAAAAAATAAAATTATTATTTAAAAATTAAATATAAAAAAAATATTTTATTTAAAAATAAAAATAAAAAAAAATATTTAGAAATAAATGAAAAAAAAAAATTAAAAGATATATTGTTTATAATATTAAATAAAATTATATTATATATAAAATAAAAAAATATATTTTTAAAATAATTATTTTTATTAATTAAAAAAATGGAATAATGATATCAATAATAAAAATATAATAATAATAATAATAATAATAATAAAAATAATAATAATAATAATAAAAATTATAATAATAATTAAAATTTTAATAATAATAAATACAAAAATATTAATAATAATAATTTATATTATTTATACATTCATTTATTTTTAATATTTTTAGTATTTAATTTTTCAATTAAAAAACTCAATTTCGCCCTTAATAATAATAATTATATTAATTATAGGTTTTTTTTATATATTTATAGCAATTTATAATTTTATTTAAAAAATTAATTTATTTATATTACCAAAAACACATATAAATAATATTATTTTTTTTTAATATCTTGATTATATTTTTATGAGAAAATATTTTGAAAATATATTATTACTAAATGAAATAATGTTTATTTTATTTATATTTTAAATATAATTAATTTATTATAAAATGAAAAAAATTAAAATTAAATATTATATAAAATATTAATTAATAATTATAAATCAATAAAAATATTCTAAATTTTAATTAATAATAAAAAATAATATTAAAACAAATATTTTAAAATAAACAAATGATAAATATAACAATTTAAAAAATTAAAAACTTTATGATAAAAAAATGTATTAAAAATTATAATTAGTAAAAAACAAAAAAAAGATTTTAATTAGTAATTATATTAAATAAAAAAAAAAATTAATATTATAAAAAAAAATCATATATTTATCTAAAAATATATATTAAAGAATCGATTTTAATATTAAAGATTCACATAGTTAAAAAATATTCTTTAATTTAGATAATAATAATAAAATAAATATATTTTATACTTAATATATATTTGAAATAAAAAATATTGATATATAAAATATTTATAATTATGTTTTATTTTTTAATATTAAAAATCAATAATTTTATTATAATTTTTATATGTTTTTTTTAATTATTTAATTATAAATGACATAATTTATTTATATTAAAAATTTTACATATTTAATATAATTCAAAAATAAAATAATTAATATTATTTAAGAAACAAATAGAAAAAATAAAAAATTAAAATATTATTATATAAAAAAAATTATTTATTTCAAATATTATTATTAAAATTTCCAGTATTTAAAATTTCTAAATTTAAAAAAAAAGATTAATTTTCACAGGGATGTATATCTTCATCGATTAGTTATTCAGATAAAGATTTTAAATTACATTTATTAAAATCTACATGACATTATGGTAAAAAATAAGCTGACATTTATTTTTATTAAAGCAAAATCTAAATATAATAATAAATATATATATATATTTATATATATAATATAATAAATTCATTAATATATATATATTAATATGTATAATTTTTATATATATTTTTATATATTTGTTTATACCCAATCAAAATTTTTAAACCATTCATTATTTTTAAGAATGTAATAAGAACCTCCCAATCTTATTTCTGGTACTTTATTCAGAAATTATCTAATTAGTTTTTATCCTTATTAATCTTCCATATATGATGGAAAAGATATATCTTTTCTAACAATGTATTCATATATTTCATAAGGATCTTCACATTCTTCACCAAAAGGTACTTGACCGCACATAAATTCATATAATATAATGCCTTTTTAAATTTAAATAAAAATAATTTTATATATCAATACCCATAGACCAGATATCAACGGGATAGCTATAACCTTGTCCTGATATAATTTCAGGAGCCATATAATGTGGAGTTCCAATTAAAGTAAAAGTTCTTTAAAGAAATCCTGAATTATTTTACATTATTTTAGCACTACCTAAATCTATTAATTTTAAATATCCTTATTTATCAACCATTATATTTTCGGGTTTCAAATCTCTATAAATTATATAATTTGAATGTAAATATTCCAAAATTAAAATAATTTAACTAATAAAAATTCTAGATTCTTAACTATTTAATAAATCCATTTCTCTTATAACATCAAATAATTCCATTCCTTATATATATTCAAGAAGAAAATATACACAATTTTAATCTTAAAATACTTTATATAATTTTTCAATAAAATTAAAGTTTATAAAATACATAGCTTTAATTTCATTCTATATAAAAATAATAAATATATAAAAAAAAAAAAATTGAATATAATATAATGTTCAAATATATAAAATATATAAATATTAATAAATATAAAATTATATATGAATTAATTAAAATATAGATATTGATACATATATATATACATATAAATGTATAAAAAAATATATTTATATATATATATATATATTTATATATTTATATATTTTTATATTTATATATATTTATTTTTATTTTTATTTACTTGTATATGTTTCCATAGTTATTTTTATTATTCTAATTTTTGTATTGATATACATTTTAAACTAAAAACTTAATTAAAATTATCACTATTATTATTCACTAAATAAACACTTCCGAAATATCCTTATCCTAATTTCTAAACTACTTTTAATTCATTTAATTTTATTTAACTAATTTTTTCTTTTAAAAAATTTTATTCTTAAATAATTTCTTTTTCTTTTTAGTTATTTTTCTTTATTAATGATTTAAAATCTTCTAAATTATAAAAATTTAACATTTTTTATATATTTATTTTTCCTAAAACACACTTATTACCTATAAAAATAACTTCGTTTTCAAAAAATATGTCTTAATCGTTATTTTTCTCAAATATTTTATTTAATACAATTCCTTTTTTAATAAAACTTGCTTTACCTAATTCTAAAAGCTCTCCTTCTAAGATTACTACAAGTTCTTTTTATTATAAAACATCCCCTTTTTTGAAAACAACTTCCCCATTTTAATACGTTACGAATTCTAAAGAATTAATCAAAAATTCTTTTTATTCCTTCGTAAATGCCTAATATTCTTCTACTTAATCCATATACCACTTAGTCATATTTCTATATGCAATTATATCTACTTAATCTCCTAAAATTTTCACTAAAACTTCTTTTCCTAAACCTAAACATTCTACATCAGATAATGCTTTAACCGTTAAAGTTCTCAAATTATTTCCATTTAAAAGAGCAGATTCTCCGAATAAATCTCCTTTATTTAAAATTCTTATGCTTTTTTTATCTTTAAAGCATTCCACTTATCCCTCTTTTAAAATAAATAAACAAACAGCTGAATCATTCTCATTAAAAATAATTTAATTTTTATTAAATTTCTATAAAATAAGTCTATTTGCAATATCATTTTTTTAAAGAAAATTCAATCCATTAAAAAATCCATTTCCCATAATAAAATTTAAATTTTCCTAAAATTCATTTAAACTAATTTCCTAAACTACTCTCCTAAATGTAAATCTATCTAATCCCCATAAAAAGCAAGGACCGATTTTGCTTTGCAAGAAGCACTTCTAGGAGCATCATATAAAAGAGCCAATTCTCCAAATCCGTCGCCTGATATAAGGTCTTATTTAGATTCTGAATTTACAAGAATTTATATTACGCCTTATTCAATGATAAAAAAAGTAGATGCTGAATCATTTTAGTTTATTATGAATTCGTTTTCTTCCAATTAACAATAAAACATTTCTTATATTAAATTTTAACTATATATATATTTATATATAATAATTATATAGGTTTTTTATTTTTACATTTGATTTTGTTTTATATTGTAAAATACGAAATGATTTTTTAAACAATCAATAATAAAATTTATATCATTTTAAGTTTTTTGTTTTTATATTTTTGTAAATTTTTCTTTTATTTAAAAATTTTCTTCAGTTGTTTGGTTTATTATTTTTATTCTTCTTGAACTTCTTCTTTTCTTTATTTTTTTTTAGATATATTTAAAAAAGAAAATTTTAAAAATTTTAACTAACATCTTATATTATTGTATTATTATTAGATTCAAAATTTAAATTAATTTTTCCACTTGAAATTCTAAGATCTTTAAGAGATGGTATTGAATATGTATATTCTTATTACATTTTAAAATTTTTATGTTTATTTGGTTATTTATTTAAAAAATAAAGCTATAATAAAATTTAAAAAAAAAATAGTTTGTAATTTATATATTTTAACAAAAAAATTCATATTTAATAAAATGAATAAAATAAAATTAAAATTCTTTTTTATTATATTAAATATAAAAGATTGTATTTTAATATAATAATTACTTTAAATATATATTTGATATTTGAAAAATTGTTAATTTTAATATTTATATTTTTATTAGATTAATTATATTAAAACTAATTAAAAAATGAAATTTTTTTAATTATAAAATAAATAAATTTATATATAATAAAAATAAAAAAAATTAATATATAAATATAATAATAAATTAAATAAAAAAATTTATTACAAATAAATTAATATAAAAATGAAATAAAAAAAAAATAAAAAATAATTAATTAAAAAAATAAGAATAATAAAAAAAAAAAATTAAAAAAAAATAATATTAAAAAATATTAAAAATAATGATAATATAAAAATAATTATATTTATAAAAAATATTAAACAAATATTTTTAAAAATTTATATATAAAAAATTAATATATTTTTTAAAATATAAATATATAAAAATATAAAAAAAAATATATATTTATTTAAATATATATATATATTTATATATATTTATATATATATAAATTTATATACATATATTTAGATATATTTATATGTTTTTATTTTTTATATATATAATATTTTTATTATAGTTATACAACATGTTATTTAGTTTTAAATATCTTAAAAATAATTACATTTATTTATTATTATATTATATATTTATAAATAATTTATTTTAGTTTTTTTCTTAATATATTTTTTTTTTATTTTTTTTTATATTTTTCTCATTTTTCATATAAATATTATATTTTTCACTAATAAATAAATATAAAAAACCATTGATATTTCATTTTTTTTATTTTTATTTTTTTATTTTTTTATTTTTTATTTTTTTATTTTTTTTTTGCCTTTATCCACGTATTAATATAACATTATATTTTTTTCATAATTAGAAATATATTTATAATATAAGCATTTTTTTTAAAAAAAAATAATCTAAAAAAATAATATAATAAGTCAATTTGCCAATTTAAATTATATTAAGACGATGGAATAATATACATATATAAATATGTTATCATATGATAAGTTTTTTTATATATAAAAGTAAGTAATTTATTTGTTTAAATAATAAATATACTACATTATTTTTAATAATAATTATAATAGGAAAATAATATAAAATAATTTTGATAATAATACATTATTAAACTTTAAACTTTCATAGTAAATAATATAAATCAGTTTATTAATTATATAATTAACAGCTTTATAGTCTAAAAAGAAATAATATGATATATCCTTTTATGAAATAACTGTAGCTAATTTAATATACTATAAGGATTTTTTGTATATGATAATAAGAGAAATACAAATATTATATATAAGATATTTAAAAAAAACTACAAAAACAATAAGTTATATAATATATAAATTTTATTAAAAAAAAAATATATATTTTATTTAGTTTCATAAAAGAAAATATTTATAATGATTATGAAAATTATCAAGACAAAATATAAAATTTATTAAAATAATTTCATTCAAATAAAAACAATAAAATAAATTAATTAAAAAAATAATAAAAATAATATAGAGTATAAAAAATAAATATAAAAATAATTATAAAAAAATAAAAGAAAATAAAAAATATATATTATAAATATAATATATATACAAAATATAAAAAAAAGAATAAAAAAAATATAAATAGTGTGTATGTATATATATATGTAAATATCTATATATATATATATATATATATATATATATATATATATATAAAAATTTTTTTTACATATTTATTTATATAAATACATATATTATTATTTAATTATTTATTTACTCATAATTTTTTTTGCTTTTTTAATTTTTTTATGTTAAAATTATACATAATATTTTTAATACTTTGAATATTATTTTTTTACATATTAATTTTAGTTTAATTTTATATAGTTATAATTTTGTTAATATATTTTATTAATATTCATTATTCTAATTATATTTATTTATTGAATGTGATATTTAATTGAAATATTCATATTTATTTTATTTATTTCTAATATTTTATTTTATTTTTTTTAATATTAATTTTAAATTAATATTTTAATTTATAAAATCAAATTTAGATATTAAATTATATATTCTTATAATTTTCAATATATTTAATTGAATTAATTATATATATATATTTTTAAATTTATAATATAAATTCTTTTAAATTATATTTTATAAATATATTATATAATAAAATATATTAACTTTTAAAAAATTATAATATTTTTTTAAAAAATTATATAAATGATTTTTTTTTTAATAATTATAGGTATTAATTTTTTTTTATAATATTAGAATGTAAGTTTGAATTTATTATGATAAAAATATTGTTAAAAAAAAAATGTTTATTATATAATATGTTCTATAAATAAAATAAAACAACAATAATTAATAAACAATAAAAAATTTTTTTTTTAGAAATAAGAAAATATATAAAATTAAAAAAAAATTATATGTAAGAATAAGATAAAAACATAAACATATTAAAATATCGTTTGTATGATAAAGGATTTAACAAAAGAACAATGCCGTCAGTTAAACGTCCTGATGAAGAATAAAGCAAAAATAAAATATTAACAGCAAGTTTAAAAACATATAAACAAAGAAAAGTCTAAAACTTACAACCGATAGTATATTTACCATAATCTGTATTATTAAATAATTCAAAAATTGCACAAAATAGTGATTTTATAGAGAAAAATTAAAACTTAATTACAAGCAATATGCAATATTAGATATAAACAAGTATAAATATGAACACAACGTAAAGTGTACATTATAATAAATAATAATAATAATAATAATAATAAAATAATAATAATACTAATAATAATAATAATAATAATAATTTTAAACCACTTAATTTTTTAAATAATTATTACCTCCCATTAATTTAGATAAAGGTTTTTTTAAATCTAAAGGTTTTTCTGAATAGGAAATGTAAAGAACTAGAAAATTAATTGATTAAATTTCTGGATAATAGAATGTGGATAAAAGATACTTAAATACATATTCTATCAATTTCAACTAATCTTTTATTCATAAAAGCCTCTACTCTTCAAAACATGAGGAGTTTACAGAAAATGAGCATTTAATCCACCATACCATTTACTATAAAGATGATAAAATTGATGAAAATTCTAATTATTAAGAAAGAAACACTAATTTAGATGTTTACATAGAACTTATATTAAAAAACGTAGTTCATGTACATGAATTCTAATACCTAATTAGGGAAAACTGTGACGACCCATATAATTTAAAAGTTGTAGACTACAACAGAGACATAAAAAAGGATGCAAAAGACATCAATAATCACAATAAATCAATGAAAACAAACAACAAAAGCTTCCTATAAAACTAAGAAAGTTTAAAAGAATACTACACTATATCTAAAAGAGGACTTACACACTACATAAACGAAAAACCGGTTGAATTTATAGTGTTGTCTGAATGGATAAAAGAACGCTAACATTATGATTAGATTAAAAAGCTTAGATTTTTTACTAAATTTAGGAAATGGAAAACTCTGAAAATGTGGAGATCAAATATTATTAGGCATAAAACTCAAATTTGCGCAAATTCTTTAAAAGAAAAACTATTTTTATTAAATCCGGTTTTAAGAAAAACCATATTATAATTAAGATCTATTACATTTGATATGATGGAAAGCCAGAGATTTATCTCTATGGATAATAATTAATATATCAGTAGCGAAAATACTTTTTCTTTGTAGGATTTTAAGACTTACTAAGAGTAAATAAGGAAAAATGTTACTTCTAAAATCTAGGAATACTCGAATTTATGTAGATAAGGTGTAAATAAAGGCTTTGATGAATGCTTAGATGAATTAAGGAAATAATAGGATTATTAAGATAAAATAGTAATGTTAAATAATAATAGAATACTAAGGACTAAAATAAGAGACAATTTTAAATAAATAGTCAGCTTATGAATAAATGGGATTCAATAATTCCATGAATTATGAATAAAGATCATAATTGAGGAAAGAATGTATTAATTTTTTACGTTTTTCGTATTTGGCGGATTTTATTAGTATGGAAGCCCTGGCTGGTATATATAAATATAGTGTAGATGAATTAAATTTCAAAATTGCTTATTTAGTAGATGAAAGATTCGCTTTATTATAGGAAAAAGTCGGTAAAATAGTTTAAAATGAACCTCTTTTTACGTATAATTAATTCCTTAATTTGACACATAAATAAAAGAAGGAGAAGACGACTTAAAAATAGAAAAAATAAAAGATTTTTTCCCAAAACCTTTCGGTGATTAAACAGAGAAAGAATTTAATATCTTATATCATGTAAGAATTCGAGAAGATAGAAAAAAAAACTAAGAAAACAATAATAATAATGAAGAAAACGAGGAAAATATAGAAGAAGACGAAGAAGTAGATGATACTTTATGTCCTGACGAAAATATAACCTTTGATAGAAAAATAGTCAAAGACATATGTGGAAAATGGATTTAAAATGGACCCTTCTGCTGAAACTATCATAGATTGTCTATTTAAGTGTATTTAAGATGGGGTAAACTCTATTTAGGTTTTCGAAAGGTGGAGTAGACATTCGGATATGGGAAAATATATTAGTATTTTGGAAGAATGGGATGATGTAGTAAATGAAGGGTGGAAGGAAGGTAATAATAGTGTATATTTAAATGCTTAAGAAATTATTGATAAGGAATTATTGGAAAATTGTAATTTAAAGGAACTTATTTTATAGGCTTTTGATAGATGTAAAGAAGAAATTAGAAACAATTTCGAAAACTATCTTTTGTAGTTTTGGGAAAATGAATAGATTAACATTGAAATTTTCAAAAACGAAAAATTAAGAAATGCAGGAGATATGTTCTTTTGGTCTATAAAAAAACTATAAGAATAAAAAGAAAGCTTAGAAAGAGAATTAACTAGCGTTTTTGATTTAGGTTTATTAAAAATTGATAGCAGTAAAATAAGAAAAAAAATAGTGCCTTAACCAAATGAAATTATAAAGGTTTTTGCTAATTTCATGCCTATAATGATATAAGAAAGGACTTATTAAATTAAAAAATGGTAACTACATACATATATATACAATTATATAAATATATAAATATATGAATAAATAAATTTATAAATATATAAATTTATATTTTTATATATTATATATATATTATACAAAAATATTTAGGATGGATGATGTAACATAATAATTAATAGGAGGTGGTAATAATATAGATGATTTTGTAAATAAATAAAATTCATTAAGGAATATATAGAAATAACTTCCAATATATAAAATGAAATTTTCAGATATATGTAGTATCAGAAATATAATATTAGAAAATAAATTTGAAATGAAAAAAGACGATATGTAATTAATTAATGAAACATAAAATGTTTAAAAAAGACTTGAATAAACTATTTAATAATGCGAAGAAATGTCTGAAAGAAATGCTGAAAAATACATGAAAGATGTAAAAGAAGTTCTTATTCCAACACTAATGAAGGAAGCTTTTGATACTAATCTTCTTTTGTAAGATATGAAATATCTCTCACATGATATAGACACTGATTAGGCTATAATGGAGCTTGAAGAATTATATAATAAAGCCAGGTAGTTATCTGAAAATTCCAAAATATATAACCATTACGAGAATACACTTGGCTTATAAATTAGCAGATTTGAAGAAATCGAAAATCTAATACAAGAATCCAATTTAATATATTTAATGTGGAAATCGCTAAAGGAATGGAAAAAACTTACTTAAGGGTGGATTGGAGGGAAGTTTAATAATATAGACACAGAAGAAATTCGATAAAAAGCTGAATTTTATTCCAAAATAATGCAGAGATGTGACAAAAGACTGCCTTAAAATGTCATTTTGACAGAACTTAAATAAATTGTGAATAGTTTTAAAGACACAATGCCTGTAGTTATTGCTTTAAGAAATAAAAACTTAAAAAACTATCATTGGGATGCTATAAAGAAGATTATAGGGAAAGAATTTGAAATAAACGATGAATTTACACTAAAAAATTTAATTGACATGAACGTAGTTTAATTCATGGACGAAATTTAGGAAGTCTCCACATAGGCTACTTAAGAGACTGTTTTAGAAAAATAATACACTAACATAAAGGAAAAATGGGAGAAGTAAGAATTCGAACTAGCGCCCTATAAACATTATTAGTTAAGGACTAAAGAAGCTTATGTTTTGGACTGTGTGGATGATTTATTTGCTAGTCTAGATGAATATTTGGCTAATTTAAATAATATATTAGGTTCTAGATATTTAAAGAAAATGAGATAAGATGTCGAAAAACTACAAAAAAACGTTCTTTATTGTCAGGAAACAATTGACGATATGCTCGCAGTCTAAAAAAACTGGATTTATTTAGAAAACATATTCTCTTCTAACGAAATAAAAAATAAATTAAAAGAAGAAACTGTATAATTTGAACATGTAGATAAATTCTTTAAAAACCAAATGGGAAAAGCCTGCAAACTAAAATGTATAATAAAAGTCATTTCTATAAAGGAGAAATCCCTAAATACATGGCGTAAGCATAAAGACACCCTCAACAACATACAAAAAGCCCTAGATAATTACCTAGAAGATAAAAGGGTCGAATTCCCTCGTTTTTATTTTCTTTCTAACGATGAACTAATTGAAATTATGGCAAAAGCAGGTGATATAGAAGCTATACAAAAAAACCTTAAAAAATGTTTTGATGGAATCTACAGACTGAATATGGACTAAAACGCCACAAATATGATCAAAGGCATAATTTCCCCCGAAGGCGAAAACCTCAATTTCTCAAAAGACCTCCCTGCAAAAGGCGAAGTTGAAAAATGGCTGAATTTAGTCTAAGAATATATGAGGGATTCTATGAAAAAATACTTTAAAAAATGCCGCACTGATTCTGATGTAAAAGACCGAAAAGACTGGGTTTTGCTTCACCCGGCTTAAATAGTGGCCACAATCTCAAATATACAATGGACTTATTACACTGAAGTATCTATAATAAGTGCAGCTGATGATAATGGTAATTCTCTATTTAATTGGTATACTGCAAATCTGGAATATCTGGATGAATTAACTCGATTAATTACATCAGGCTTAGATCCTGTTAAACATAAAAGTATAGTCGCCTTAATTACTTAGGATGTACATGCGAGAGATATTCTGGAAGGTTTATGTGAGGATTCTGTGACATCAGTGAATGACTTTAGTTGGTTGAAATAACTGAGATATTATTACGAAGAAGAGGATGTTTAGGTTAAATAAGTTAATTAGAAAATCAAGTATGGAAATGAGTATTTAGGGGCTACTTCTAGATTAGTTATTACTCCTCTAACTGATAGATGCTGGATTACTATTACTGGAGCTTTGGGTATTAAACTAGGATGCGCTCCGGCTGGTCCTGCGGGTACTGGAAAAACGGAATCAACAAAAGATTTAGCTAAAGCATTAGGAATGTTATGCGTTGTATTTAATTGTTCTGACTAAATAGAATATTAGATGATGGGTAGACTTTTTTCTGGTTTAGCTTAATAAGGAGCCTGGGCATGTTTAGATGAATTCAATCGTATAGACATAGAAGTACTTTCCGTTATAGCTTAATAATTACTAACTATTAGGTAAGCTTTAATGAAAGGAATCAAAGAAGACGAGACTTTTCTATTTATAGATCGAGAAATACACCTAAAAGCTGACGGTTATGGAGTTTTCATTACCATGAACCCCGGATATGCGGGCAGAACAGAGCTTCCTGATAATCTAAAAGTCCTTTTCCGACCAGTTTCAATGATGATTCCTGACTATCGTTTAATCGCTGAAATAATGCTTTTCGCTGAAGGCTTCGAAAACGCTAAGCCTTTATCAAAAAAAATGGTTTAATTATACAAATTGTCTTCCGAGTAATTATCTCAATAAGACCATTATGATTTCGGTATGAGAGCAGTTAAAAGCGTGCTAGTGATGGCTGGAACACTCAAAAGGGCAGAACCGGATTTAAAGGAAGACGTAGTATTAATTAGGGCAATGAGAGACTCTAATATTCCTAAATTTTTGAAGGACGATCTGCCCCTTTTCTAGGCTTTGATTTAGGACCTTTTCCCTAATGAAGTCATTCCAAATCCTGACTATACTGAAATTTCTAATTAAATAAACCTTTCTTTCAATACTCTTGGATTATAGAATGTTGCTTTAATGAAGGAAAAATGCATCTAGCTTTTCGATACTTTCAATGTAAGATTTGGTGTGATGTTAGTCGGTTAAACTACTTCTGGGAAAACAACTTGTTTTTAATTATTATAAGATTGTATGACTGAACTCAAAAAAAACAAAAATACTACAGATAAGAGATTTTAGGAAGTAATAACTCACATAGTGAACCCAAAATGTATAAGCATGGGTGAATTATATGGGGAAGTAAATCCTTTTACATAAGAATGGCAGGATGGCTTAGCCTCTTAAATTATGAGAAATTCCTCTAGTGATGAAACTGAATTAAGATAATGGGTAGTTTTTGACGGGCCAGTAGATGCTTTATGGATTGAAATATGAATACAGTATTAGATGATAATATGATGTTATGTTTAGCTAATGGTTAGAGAATTAAACTAAGAAATTAAATGAGAATGCTATTCGAAGTGTAAGATTTGAAAGTAGCTTCTCCTGCGACTGTTTCGAGATGCGGAATGGTATATTTAATGCAAGAGAATGTAGGTTGGAGGGCTTATGTATAAAGTTGGATATAAAGGACTTTTATAAAAAAGAATAACGTCCATTAAGAAAAAAACACATAAGAAATTCTTAACAAAGAAATGAGAAATTATTTATGGATTTTATTTGAAGACAAAGTAGATTTTTTTATTGATTTTATAAGAAATAAAATGAAAGAGCCTATACCTACTGTAGATTTACAATTGATATCTTCATTATGTAATTTATTTGAATGTTTTATATTTTAAGAGCATGAATTCGGATCTAATGTAACCTAAAACGCAGTGAATAATAATTAAAAGAGCAACCTAATAAATAATAATGATTAAAAAAAAAAATCATAGACTATTCTTTTGCCTTTTCATTCGTATGGTCAATATGTTGTTCTGTAAACGAGAATTACTATGATAAACTCGATATTTATGTAAGAGAGAAATTCCCTAATATAATTTTTCCATCTTTCGGTAATATATATTCCTTTTATTTAAAAGACAATTAATTTAAGCCCTGGTCTGATATAACAAACGAATTTATATATGAAAAAGACCTTTCTTATTTTAATATGTTAGTTCCTACTGAAGACACTGTCCGTTTCAGTTTTTTGATTTCTGAATTACTTTCATTTAAAAAAAACGTCTATTTAACTGGTTCAAGTGGTACTGGAAAAAGCGTAATTGTTTAAACTTTACTTTAGCAAATTCAATCGACTAAAAATGTAGATAATTTTCAGCTTATTTTTTCCGCTTAAACTTCTTCTTATATTACCTAATTATCAATAGAAGGAAAGCTTGAAAAAATAAAAAAAACTTTATTAGGTGCTAAACCTAATCGAAAAACCTGTATTTTCATCGACGATATAAACATGCCTGCTGTTGAAGAATACGGCGCATAACCCCCAATAGAATTACTCAGACTTCTAGTCGACAAAAATGGCCTATATGACCGAAAAGAGAGATTCTGGAAAGATATCTAAGACACAATGCTCTGTATATGCAGCGCACCACCTGGAGGTGGTCGAAACTCACTCACAATGAGATTTACAAGGCATTTTAATATCCTTAATGCGCCTTAACCATCTCGAGAAATCCTCTTTAAGATCTTCGATAGTCTCCTTTCTGGTTTTTTAAAAGCCTTAAATTTCCCAGAAAGTGTAAAAAGAATGTCAGAGGCCACAGTGAACAGCACAATAGAAATATACTAAAGCATAAGCCTGGAATTAAAAGCTAAACCATCAAAATTCCATTATACATTTAATTTAAGGGATGTTTCGAAGGTGTTCTAAGGAATAATGATGTCTCATTAATCAACTATTAGAGATAATAATATGTTCGTAAAACTCTGGATTCATGAAACTTAACGAGTTTTTTTCGACAGGTTAATAAATGAGGAGGACAGAAATTGGTTTTATGAATATATAATGAAGTTATTAGGAAATTATTTCCATTCTAAATTAAATAAAAGCGATATTTAATAAATTCTTTTCAGTGATATTTTGTGTTTAGAAACTAATTTGAAAGAATACGAAGATGTAACTGAAAAAATGCCAAAAGTAATCAAAACTTTAGAAGATAAACTTGACGATTATAACTCTTCAAACACTAACAAAATGAACCTGGTATTCTTTAATACCTGTATTTAACATATTCTTAGAATTATGAGAGTTTTAAGGTCTCCAAGAGGAAACGCGATGCTTATTGGAGTAGGTGGAAGTGGAAAATAATCCCTGACAAAATTAAGTAGTTATATTTTAGAAAATAAAACAGTACAAATTGAAATTGTAAAAGATTTTGACGGCGAAAAATTCAGAGATTTCATTAAAGATATAATGAAAATTTCATCTATAGAAGGCAAAAATGTCTGCTTTATATTCACTGATAATTAAATTCTGTATGAAACTTTTCTTGAAGATATAAATAATATACTTAATTCAGGAGAGGTACCTAATCTATGGTAATCAGATGAAAAGGATATAATTATTAATGAAACTAGACAAATAAATAATAAACTAAAAAGATAAGAAGATCCAGACACTATATATAAAGTTAAACAATAAATATATATAAATTAAATATATATATATATATATATATATTATATATATATATATATTATATAAATTTTACATATATTTTTTTTTATATTTTAATAGACTTTCGTTGAAAGAGTAAGACATTATCTTCATATTGTTTTATGTATGAGTCCTATAGGTGATTCTTTAAGAGTTCGTCATCGTAAATTTCCTTCATTAATTGATTGTTGTACTTTAGATTGGTTTTCTACTTGGCCTAAAGAAGCATTAATAAGTGTAGCAGAGACTATTTTTAAAAACAATAGTAATTTCCCATTATCTTCTACCATTTCTAAACAAGATATGATTTCAAAGTTATCTTTAATGTGCTAAATGGTTCACACATCTTCTACTTAAATTGCCGATTTATTTGAATAATAATTAAAAAGAAGAGTATATAATACTCCTAAGTCATATTTAGATTTAATTAAACTTTATTAAGATACTCTAAATAAAAAAAGATTCGAATTAATTTAAAACCAACAAAGACTTTCTTCCGGTTTGACCAAACTCGAACAAGCTAATAAACAAGTTGCACAACTTTAAATCGATTTAACCGATCTAAAGCCTTTATTAGCCGAAAAAAGCATTATAGTAACCGAAAAGCTCAAACAAGTCGAAAAAGATTCTGAAGAAGCTGCCGAAAAGTAACTAATAGTATACGAAGAAGCCTCAAAAGTTTAAAAATAAAAAGATAAAATTCAACTTATAGCTGACGAAGCCTAAATAGAACTTGATAAAGTAATGCCTGAGTTAATTAAATCCCAAGAAGCAGTATCTAACATTGATAAATCCCAACTAAGTATATTAAAAACACTTGCCTAACCCCCATCTTAAGCCATTATAACTTTTGAAGCGATCTGTGTACTTTTAGGGGAGAAAAAAGTCGAATGGTCAACTGCTCGATCTCTCCTCTAAGATGTAAGTAAATTTGTTAAAACTCTCGTAGAATATGACAAAGACAATATTTCAGCTGAAAAGCTAAAAAAATTAAATAAAGTACTCTCTAAACCCGAATTTAATCTTGAAGATATAAAAAAAAATCTATCCTATGCCTATGATCTTGCCCTTTTTTGTAAATCTATGAAGATTTACGCAGACGTAAACTTAATAGTAAAGCCTAAAAGGGAATAAGTTGCCAAACTTAACGCCGAACTTGAAATCGTCGAAAAGAATTTGCAGGAAAAAACATCGGCATTAAACTAAGTAAAGGCAAAAGTTCAGAAACTCCGCGACGAAACCGAATTAGTAGTCCAAGAAAAGCAGACCCTAGAATACAATATGGAACTGACAGAAAAAAGACTTTAAAGAGCTCAAAAGCTAATCGTCCTCACAGCTGATGAAGCCATAAGATGGAAAGAAACAGTCTAAAAATTAAACATAGACATCGAAAATACTTTCGGAAACGCCTTTATATCTTCTGCCTAAATTTCCTATAACGGCCCCTTCACAGGTATTTTTAGAACCGAACTCGAGAACAAATGGATTGAATAAATAAAAGAATACAATATTCCCATAATGTAAGAAAATTACACTATATCTAAAGTAATGGCAGACCCTATGTAATTAAGAGAATGGTAAATGTAAGGTCTTCCTAGTGATTAAGTTTCTTAGGAAAACTCAATTTTTATAATGAATGCATATAGATGGCCTTTATTAATTGACCCACAACTATAAGCTTCTAAATGGATAAAAAATATGGAAAAATAAAACAAATTATCCATCCTAAAATTCTCTAACCCAAAATTTATCTCCATAATCCAAGCCTAAGTCGCAAACGGATATCCTGTAATAATCGAAGATGTTGACGCTAAATTGGACCCTGTCCTAGATACTATATTAACAAAAGCATATTTCGAAATCGATGGCCGATTACTTTTAAAACTAGGAGACAAAGAATGTGATTATCATAAAGATTTTAGACTCTACATGACTACAAAGAAGCCTAATCCAGCCTATTTACCTGAAATATTCATTAAAGTTACTGTTATAAACTTCACGGCGACCTTCGAAGGCCTCGAGGACCAATTTCTAGCTGACGTCGTGAAAACGAGAATCCTGAAGTGGAGAAAAAAAGAGACGAAAACGTTCAAAACCTATCCTCTTACAGAAAGAAATAATCGAATCTGAAAAAGAGATCCTTCGTCTCTTAGCCGAGGCTAAAGCAGAGAAAATTCTCGACGACGAAAACTTAATCTAAACCCTTGAAAACGCCAAAATAACGGCCCTCGAAATTTCCCAGTAAATAAAAATCAGCACCGAAATTGAAAAAGACATTGAAAATACCCGAAATCTCTACCGCCCAGTCTCGATTCGAGGTTCAATATTATTCTTCGTAATAAAAGACCTTTCCTTAATCGACCCAATGTACCAATATTCCCTCTAATACATCACAAAACTCTTCAATCAAGCCATCTAAACCCACCCCCCAAAACCCCAATATAGATCGCCTTTAAAGCCTAATCGACAATATCACTAAAAATCTCTACACAAACGTCACCAGAGGACTTTTTGAGAAAGACAAGCTTATTTTTTCATTCCTAATATCCATTTCAATAAATAAAAACTCAAAAATTCTCTGCGAAAACCTCTGGAGTATTTTCCTCAGAGGGGCCGGTGTTTTCAACAAACAGCAACAGCCCACTAACCCTGATAAAATCTTCATTTCCCAACCCCAATGGGACCTCGCCTATTACTTGGAAACCCAAAGCCCGGAAAAATTCAAAGACTTAACCAAAAACATCACATAAAAACTGCAAAATTGGAAAGACTATTTTTTATAAGAAAACTACATGAAATTTCCTGAAGATTATAACTCAAAACTCGATCGTTTTGAAAAAATGCTTCTCCTGAAAATTTTTCGCCCTGAAAAAATAATGTTTGCTATAAATGACTATATAATAAATTACCTCGGCTCTTTTTTCGTAGAACACCCTCCCGTTTAAATGGAAACCATTCACCAAGACTCCGATTTTTAAACGCCGATAATTTTCGTCCTATCATAAGGTGCTGACCCCAGTTCTTTAATTTTAAATTTCGCCCAAGAAAAAGAAATGACTTAAAATCTCAAAATAATATCCTTAGGATAGGGTTAAGGTTAAAAAGCTGCTGTATTGATAGAATAAGCAAAACAATAAGGAAACTGGATTTGCTTGTAAAATTGTCACCTTGCCAGAACTTGGATGCCTGATCTTGAGTCTATTATAGACAAAATTTCTTCTGAACAAGACGAGAATCCCACAAATTCAAACTTCAGAATTTTTCTTACTTCAATGCCTGCCAGTTATTTCCCTGTTTCAGTCCTCTAAAACGGTATTAAAATAACCACTGAGCCTCCCCGTGGCCTAAAAGCCAATTTAAAGCGCAGTTGGAATTCCATAAGCGATGCTTTTCTCCAATAATGCACTAAAACTTAAATTTTCCACAAGCTTACGTGGGGTTTAATCTTCTTCCATGCCATAGTATAAGAAAGAAGAAAATTCGGTCCATTAGGCTGGAACATAAGATATGAATTCAACGACTCTGACCTTGAAACATCCACTACAATGATGAAAATGCTTCTAAACGAGTAAGAATAAATTCCATGGGACGCCCTTCTTTTTGTAATTGGTGAAATAAACTACGGCGGCCGAGTAACAGACGATTGGGACAGGAGATGTTTAAAAACAATTCTTAAAAAATTCTATATAAAAGAAGCTTTAGAAGACACTTATTAGTTCTCCCAATCTAAAATCTACTAAATCCCCAAAATAGGTTAAATAGCAGATTATATATAATATATAGAATCCCTCCCTCTAAACGAAGACCCTGCAGTTTTCGGAATGAACGAAAACGCAAATATAACCTTTTAAGACTAAGAATCAACAAAAATAATTGACACAATACTATCGATATAACCCAGAATATCTAGCGGATCTTCAAGCGGGCAGACTCCAGATTAAATTGTCTAAACATTAGTCAAAAGTATAACAGAAGGCCTACCTAATATACTTTAAAGATCCGAAGGTAATAAAGATATATTCGAAACAGATCAAAAGGGTTTAATTCCTTCCTTATCAACTGTTTTATTATAAGAAATGACTAAATTTAATACTTTATTAAGTTAAATTAAAAGAACATTAATAGATCTAGGTAAAGCTATAGAAGGTGAAATTGTAATGTCTTTTGAACTTGATTAAACTTATTATTCATTATTAAATAATTAAGTACCTAACATTTGGTAAAAAGTAGCTTATCCTTCTTTAAAGCCTTTAGCCTCCTGGATAATAGATCTAAAAGAAAGAGTTTCTTTTATTTAAAAATGGCTAGTGGATGGATATACGGTTTGTTATTGGATTTCTGGGCTGTTTTTCCCTTAAGGATTTATTACTGGAGTTCTTTAAACCCATTCAAGATAACATCAAATTGCTATTGATAGGCTTTCTTTTAATTTCAGAATACTTGATATAGAAAAAGAAGTTTGTACAATTAAACCTACTGTAGTTTTATTTTTTAAATATAAATATAAATGTATATATATATTATAAGTTCTTATAAATAAAAAATTATATAAAAAAATATATTTATATTTATTCTTTTATTAATAAAGGATGGTGTTTATATTTATGGATTATTTTTAGAAGGTGCTTCATGGGATAGATAAAAAAGAACTTTAATTGATGTTAAATCAGGTGAAAAAACATGTATTATGCCAATAATTCATTTTTCTCCAACTGATAAATATAAAGAAAAACCAGATAATTATATGTAATAAAAAAAATATATCATTAATTAATAAAAATATAGATGTCCTATTTATAAAACTTCTCTTAGAGCTGGTGTACTTTCTACAACAGGATAATCTACTAATTTTGTTTTAACTGTTGATTTACCTTCATTAGATTAATATCCGGATTTCTGGATTTTAAGAGGGACAGCTTTAATATGTTAACTTAACTAGTGAAAAAAATTTAAATTATGAATTTAAATAATATTTTATGAATATAAAAAATTTCATTAATAATTAAAAAATATATAAAATAGATTAAATATAAAAATAATATATATATATATATATATATATATATATATATATATATTTCATATCATTATATATATATTTTAATTTTATGTATTTCTATTATATTTTTTTTTATTTTTTATTATAATTATTCTTTTTTTTTTTATTATTTTATATATTTCTTTATATTTTCTGTTAAGCTTTTTTCTCTTAGTTCGATATTTAATTTTATAATGAATTTTTTTTTTTTTCATCTTTTTCATTATTTATTTGTTATTCTTTATATTAAATATGATTTTTTTAATTCTTCTTTTATACCTGATTTTTCTTTTTGTGATATATTATATTGATAATTTTCTTCTTTAAAAAAAATATTAAAAATATAATTTTTTTATTTTTATTATTCTTTTTTTAAGATTTTTAATCAAATTTTGTTTATTTTTACTTCTTATGTTAAAAATATATAGTTTATTTAATCTAAAAAGTATAAAGATTTTAATAAAAATATTTTTTTTTGCAATTTTAAAGAATCGTGATTCAAATTATATCCATATACTTTTCTGATAAAACTTTTTTTATTTATTTGATAAATTTCAAACATAATTTATTACTACTTCAGCTTTGGAGTTTAATTATGCCAATTTTCCATTAGAAAAACTTTTAAAGTTTATTCAAGAAACATTTCATTGACTGTTTTTGAGGAAAATTTATGTATTGAAAGCCTAATATTTTATGATAAATAGTCATATAAATTCTTATTGGAAGTAAAAAGTAATTTATAGTTTCTTATTCTATTAAATTTTTTATTGTTTTTATAAAAATATATAATAAACAAATAACAATCTTTAACTTTTTATGATGCCCTTCCCCCTCCCCCTAAACTGTTAACTGCATATTATTGAGGTGCAGATATTTATTTTGAAGCGGATTACAGTATTTTTTATAAATTTTTTTAAAATATTTATTTTGCAAATTAAACAAATTCTTGAAAATAAAGCATAAAGCACAAAAAAAAAAAAAAAGGAGTAATAAAAATAAAATAAACATTTTATGAAATTTAAATTAAAGTAATAGATAAAAAAATTTTCATCTATTTATCTTCTAATATAAAATAAACTTTTATTTTTTTAAAATAACAAGCAATTTCAATACAAAAAAAATAAGAATTCATTTAAAAATAGATATCTATAATTTATAATATAGTTAACAATTTAAAAATAAAATAAATATGATACAAGAAGAAAAAGAAAAATGGAAAATGAATAAAATGAAAATATCTATTAAAAAGAAAAACAACAAAAATAAAATTATTAAGAAGTATTTGTTTAATTTTTTTTTTATTAAACTTAAACTACAAATTTCTTTTATCCTTATAAATAAAGTTTCTAAAGTAAAAATTGTTAAATTTAATTAACCTATCCAAGAAACTTTTAAACTTAAAAATCAGAAACGGATTTAGTTTTTTTGATTATTCTTGTAATACTTGAAACTAACATTAAATCAAAAAACAAAATAATTTTTATTAATAAAATAAGAGGTATTAAGTTTATTGTCATAAGCATTATTAAAGATATAACTATTATAAGTGGAATTATTACTGGCAGAATTCATGGAATAAAAACGAGTTAAAAATTAATAGATCTTTAAGCATAAAGAAGTATTTATAACCTTTTCATTTAATTTTTCTTTAAAAAATTATTAAAGAAGAGCCAATAACTATTTTAAATTAAATGAATTTTCATTTAGACTTTAAATGGATTAGCAAAATGATAAAATTAAAAAAAGACAAATATGTATTAAGTAAACATGAACACTGGTTAAACCAAAGATAATAGAATTTCAAAACTGAATGATATAGTTGGATATAAAATGATTAGTAAAACCTTTATAATCTTGATAAAACATCTTTTATATCAGGATTTGACCCTATTTATGGATATTCTGAGATAAATTAAAGAATTAGAGTGAATGGCAATGAAGCGTCTTAAAACTTTTCAGTTCTTGCAGCAATGACAGAAAACTCATTGATTGAATTTTAGATGCTCTTTCAAAAGATTATGGAGCTTTTATTGTAAGACTAATTAAAGATTTTGAAGGAAATAAAGTAAAATATTTAATGAGTATTGTTTCTATGCTGACAATACAAAAATTCACACAGCTAACATATTAAATTATTTAAAATAAAAATTAATCTTTATATAAGGTCCTTCTCCTTACACTCACATTTTTAACCCGATTGAGCAGATCTTTTCTGTTTAGAAAAAAAAAAATATGTCTAAAAATGTCACAACGAAGATGAATATGATTTAATAAATAGCATTTATTCCATATCTTTTTAAATAAGAAAATAAGTTTTTTTAAGATTTTATTTTATAGACATATAAACAGTTTTTAAAGTCATTAAACTAATAAGATTTATGAATATATATATATATATATATATATATATATGTATTAAATAAAAATAATTTTTAATAAAATAAATATTTATTTTAATATATTTTTTGAAAAACAGTATTTTTTTATTATAGTATGAAGTTATAAACATTTTTATAAAAATTATCTTTCTTAATTATCTACAGACTTAGGCCAGATATTATTTATATAATAATTTTATAAAAACCTTAATCAAAAAAATTATTATTTAAATATTTTATTATAATTATTTTATTTTAAAATAATTATTTTCTAAAAAATTAAATAATTTTGTTTTATTAAAAAAAAAATTATTTATATCTAATCTGCAAAAATATTTTATTTTTTTAATATATATATTTATCCTTTAATCTTTAAAACTGAAAATATTTTTTATTATTATTTGAAATTTATGTTTAAAATAATTATAGATATAAATAAAAATGATATTAAACTAATAATTTATTGCAAATTATTATTATTAATTATATAATTTATTATATATATATTTTTTTTCTTTTAAATTAAGATTTATTATTAATTATAATATTTTATATCAAAATTATTTATAAGAGGAATTTTCTCAATAATTTAATTTATATAAACAAATTATTTTTAATTCTTACATGTTATTAAATAATCGAATAAATAATCTTTGATTTTATTCTGACTATATGTAGCTGATAATTTTATGTTAATTAATAATTTAATAAAGAGATTTGATTTTTATAAATTAAAAAAAGGAAAAATTATTATTAATTGATGGAGATAATTTTTCCGCTTAAGTACATAAATAAGAACTTAATTTAATACTTCATATTGAAATACTAATTATTGTTTAGTATATGAATAAATTTATTTTTAGAATAATTATAAGATATATAATATATGTTCTATGTTGTATATTAATTATATTTAAAAAAATTAATTAATTAATATTAAAAAATAAAAATTTATTATTTATTTTAAAGATTCATAAATAAGAAAAAAAAAAAAATCCTGGTGTTATTTATTTTATACTTAATGTCATATATATTGATTAAAAATAAATTAAATTTTTTAAATATTATATATATATATATATATATTATATATATATTTATATATATAACGAAATTTCTATATAATTTGTAATATATTCAAAAATTTATTATTGAATATCTTAAATGTAAATTTCATTTTATATATAAGAAAATGTTTTTTAACTATTTTTTAAAAGTATTCAATTAATTCAATTAATATATAAAGAATAAAAATCAAATTATTTAAGAAAAACATATATTACTTATTAATATTTATTTTAATAAATAATTTATTTAATAAAATAAATTTAATATATTACCAAAATTTTTATTTTATTTATTAAATATATTTTCTGAAATCTGCTGATAATTATTTTATTAATATAAAAATGATGATAAATTCTAAATAAATATTATTCTAAATTTTCTATATAATAATTAATTATATATAAAAATTTAATCTTTAAATTTAAAATTATTTTATTTATTTATTATTATTTTTTTTATCATAAAGACAAAAAACATATATCTTATGGATGTATCTTCTTCATTAAAATAATTATTTTAAACATACCAGAATCAAATAATGAATAACTCATAAAAATCATGGACTAAAGATATCTAAATATAAAACAACTTTTCATCAGATAATCAATACGACGATATATTCAAATTATACAATCATAGATATACAAAAGTAAAAAGTATTGATCTATATAAAAAAGATAAAATATTCTGTGGAATAAAATTTACATATTAAACAAACACATCTAATAATCTTTAAATAATTGAAGGATTTGAAATGGGCTTATGTTCTGAAGAAAGAATATAACATTTAAAAATCGAATTAGATAATGGTGAATATATTAACGAAATTCTTTATTATGCTGATAAAGAATATTTAATTTACACAATAGGATTTAAAACAAGTAATAATAAAAATTATATTTGCGGAGAAAATGTATAAGAGTTAAAATCTAAAAAATCACCTTAAGGATATCATTTTACTAACTTTAAAGGAAACTATAGAAAATGTGATGAAGGATTATCATCTATAGGCTTTGATTTATAATTAATAAATGAAAAAGAAACAGAAGTAGACACTACAAAGTAATCATTTAATCTAAAAAAAATTGTCTTTAGATTAATAATTGATTATTTAGACATATCTGATATTTGCCGACTTTTCCGCACAAATAAATATTTGTCATAATTTAGATTTGATGAATTTGTTATTGGATAATTAGGGATGAGAAGTGTATTTTAAAATAATAAGAATAATTTGAAATACTTAAATTTATTAATTAAAAACACAGGATTAGGAAAAGACCATTTTTAAGTATTTGAATATTATAATAATTTATGTGAAAATGTGCTTAAAGGAGAACTTTAGAATAAATTCGAAGTTTTAAAAGATGGAGGAAATGGAATACAAATCGGAAATCAAGAAGATGAAAACATCCATTTTACTTTTAGTTATGGACAAGGAGCCTTTTGCTGGAAAATTGACCTTCGATAAAATTTTAACTAAGAATAAATTTCTAAAATTAAAGAAGGGAAAATGGCTATTGTTGCCGGATGTAACCTTTAGGATAGTGGATTTGGAGGTGAGGCTAAATTAACTCTCAAAATTTATGATAATGAAAATGTATAGGTGGCAAAAAAAACTAACTTATAAGATTCATTAAATAAATAACCAAAGTTCTTTAGTGTATATTATGTCTAAAAAGATTAATCTATTAATATTGAAAAAGCAGAATTTATTATTAGTGGAAAAGACGTAAAATTTTGGGCAGGATACTATGGTCCTACTGTTAGTTATCCTTAGTTTAAAGTTATTCCTATAGAATAAGATAAAGAATTATAATTATTTAATAAATATATTAAGTTGTGATTTTTTTGTTTCAATGTTTCTTTTTTTTAATAAGGATATATTTTTTTTTTTATTTATATTGTAACTTTATTTATTTTTTCTTTGAGTTATTTATATAGATATATTTGAACTTAAAAAATTTTAATATATAATTTTATTTTATATTTCTATTTTTTTTTTTTTATATTATGGATATACACCTAAATTTTTAAATAATAAAAAAAAAATCAAAATCTTTAGATTTTATGGACTATTTATTTTAAAAAAAAAATTAACATAGTATATGTTTTTGTTAAAAAAAATTCTAATAAATCTATTTTTATTTTTATACATATATTTCTTTCAATAAATAGAATAAAATATTCTTTTAATATAATAATAGATTAGTCTATCTATTATTAATCTTATAAAAACAATCAAAGATTTTTTATACAATAAAAAAAAAAATTAATAGTACTCAAATGAGATAATAAAAATTGCTAAAAATTTAGTAATAACGATATTCAAAATAATTTTGTTAATTAGATGAAATGATTATTTAATATATTTTATTAAAATATTCAAAAGCCAAAATTTTAATTATACGAAATTCAAAAATAGATATCTTTAAATGAAATTATTTGTAAGATATAAATTTTATATACTAAATATATACATTATTAATTTATTAAATAATATAAGGGTTTTATATTAAATAATATTTTATTTTATAAACTTTATAAGATATGTGTTTTCAATATAAATATTTTTTTTATTTATATATAAAAAATTAATATATTTAATAGATTTTCTTATTAATTAAATTTATTTTATTTTTAAAATAAATATTAAAAATATTAACTTAGAAAAATACATTATATTTTATGTTTACAATGCGTTAAACAATTTAAAAAATTACTTAAAATTTATAAATAATATTCCTTTATTTTTAATATTTAAAAATCTATTAAATATTAAATTCAATATTAATTAAAAAAATTATATTGAAAAATATATTTATTAACAAATAAAAGATTTTGACATAAAAATAAAATTATTTAAAGATTTAAAAAAAAAATAAACAATAAAAAATTAAAATTTATTATAAAAACAAATATAGAATATAATGCACTAAATGTTAAATACTAATTAATATTATTAAGAATAAATAGTTATTATATATATATATATATATAATTATTAAATTCAAATATCTAATTTATTTATAAAATTATTTGTTCCAATTGTTCCAATATTATTATTATTGCTATTGTTATTATTATTAATGTTGTTAATATTATTATTTAAATTTGTATTATTTAAGCAGTTATTTATTAAGTTATTATTTTATTTTTAATATTAAAAATTTAGCATATTTTTAAGATATTCTTAATTATAACAAGTTTCATCTTATTTACTATCTAGTATTAATTTATTAGGTTTAGGTAAAATAACATTTTTATTTCCTTACATCATTATTTAATTCACATTATCTAAATAATGTTAGCTTCCTTAGAAATTATTATGATCAATATTATTATGGAAAAATCCAGATTATAAAACTTCATTACCAACCGAAATATATGAGTTTATAGGCTTTAAATTAGGTAAAATATTTAGTTCTTAATCATATTAATTATCAACTTTATTTTCAGTTAATTAATTCTTAAAAAAAAATAAACTATTATTGTTATTGTTATTGTTATTGTTATTGTTATTGTTATTGTTATTGTTATTGTTATTGTTATTGTTATTGTTATTGTTATTGTTATTGTTATTGTTATTGTTATTGTTATTGTTATTGTTATTGTTATTGTTATTGTTATTGTTATTGTTATTGTTATTGTTATTGTTATTGTTATTGTTATTATTATTGTTATTATTATTGTTATTGCCATTGTTATTGCCATTATTATTACCATTGTTATTATTATTATTATTATTATTATTATTATTATTATTATTATTATTATTATTATTATTAATATTATTATTTATATTATTGTTATTATTCATATTAATATTATTGTTACTATTCTATATTTGTATATGATTATTTTTTAATTATTATTATTGTTATTAAATTAATTATTATTATTATATTATTGACTATTATTATAAATCAATTTATTATTGATAATTATTTGATGTTTATAATATTGAATCAACAAGTGAATTATAATCTTCGATAACTAAACTATTTTTATTATTTTTGGATTTTGATAAATTTATATATATTTTATTTAATAATTTCGGATTTATTTTTAAAGAATTTGTTGCGTATTTTTTTGACCAATAAAAAAAAAGCTAAGAAAAATATGGGAAAATACTTTTTATATGAATTTCGAAAATTTCAATTTAATTTATTTCATTTAGATAATATTTTACTGCATAAGCATTCAATAACAAAAAAATTTCCAAATAAAGATATTCTTTTATATTTACTCCATTATATAAATTCATAAAATCTTTAAAATATTAAATATTTATCAACTATTTATTACTCATTTATACTTAAATATAAATATATATATAAATATAAATATATATATATATAATATATATATATATTTTTTATATATATATGATATTAATATATAAGTTTTACTTCCAATTATTTTATCTTAAAATGTATGCAAAAAAAACTACTTCCAATTCATTAAAATGAAATTTTATTGCTATTTATCTTAACATTTAAAAAAGAGGAAATTTTTATGCCATATTTTTTGCTTATTCATCATTTGCTAATTTTTTTATAATTTAATTTGATTAATATGTATAGTTTTCTGAATTATATTTTGCACAATTTTCTTCATATTCTTTTAACAATTATTAAGTTTTTTTTTCTTGTTCTAAACATTTTTCTTATTATTAATTTTCTTAAAATACTTGCTTTTATTGATTTAATTAAATGTTTTGATTTAAATTTGTTTTTTAATTTTAAAATAAATCATTTTTTATTACAAAAATTTATTTTTTCTGAGACATTTATTTCTAATATATTAATAAATTATATATATATAAAAAAGAAAAAAATTAATATTTTTTTTTTTTTTATAAAAATATTAATAAATAATCTATATTATTATATATAATATATTAATATTAAATAAATAAAAAAGTATATAAATAATCAAAATGGAATAAAAGACTTCAATCCTATATCCTTCCTAAAATAGCAGTAATAATTAATAATAACAAGAAAATAAAAGTCCCCAAAAAACAATCTTATAAAGTCTGCCTGAATCGTTCAAACAATTTTTAAATCAAAACTAAATTAACTATGATTATTTTTCCATTTAAACCAACTTTTCCCGTTACATACGTATCAAACATAATTTAAAATTAAAAAAAGAAATTCTCGAAAAATAATTAAAAACGTTGTAAATAACTGAAATCGAATATCTCCCGAATTTCTATAAACTTCCAGATGAAATAAAAATAGTGAATACTGATTTATACAAACAAGGTCTTATATATGGTATGGACTTAAGTTCTGGTTGTGTAATAAAATGCCTAGACCCTAAAGAAGGAGAAAAAATACTCGATTTATGTTGTTGTCCAGGCATGAAATTATGTTATATAGCGGATTTAATAGGTGAGAATGGATAAGTAACAGGAGTAGATATAAACAAAAATCGACTAAATATATGTAAATAGATTATAAAGAAATACAATTTATAAAAAAACACGAAATTATATTTGGCAGACGGAACACTTTTTGATTAAGAAAGTGAATTTGATAGAGTCCTTGTAGATGCAGAATGTACACATGATGGATCAATTAAGCATTTAAAAAAATTTGCTTAATAAAAAAAAGATAAAGATGATAATTTATATAATAAAGACTTTAAAATAATATCAAAAAAAGAACAAAAGAGAAGACTAAAATAATAATAAATAAATAACTCGAATATGTATACATCTTAAATATTATAAAAAAATTAATGGACACATGATGATTTCTAAAAAAGAGTACTGGATCCAGTAAAACTAGAAAATATTATATCTTTATAAAGAAAACTTATGATAAATGCATTTAATAGATTAAAAAAAGGAGGAATTATGGTATATAGTACATGCAGTTTAGCAAGAAATTAAAATGAAGACAATATTATATGGTTATAGGATTATTTAAAAGGATAATTTTAAATAATTACTCCTTATAATAAGTAGGAATTAGATATAATGCCGTGTAAAGAAGGATTTATTCCTAATACTGTAAGGTTCGATCCTATTATTAGTTAAAGTGGAGGAATGTTTATCTGTAAAATAAAAAAATTATGATAAAATATTAAATAATTAAAAATAACATAATTAAAATTTTTTTTTATAAAATATAAATATAAATATAAATATAAATATAAATATATATATAATATATATATATATATATAATATATATATTTAGTATTTTTTATTTTAATTATTAATTTATAAATATTAATCCTATATAATAATGTATCTCTAATTATTTATGTATTTATATATTTTATATTTATATATATTCATTTTTATATAATCTTTTTTGTTAATATATATTTAAAAAATTAGTTTTGTATTTTATCAATTTTCTTTTACAAAAAATTATCTTAATTTTTTATTTCTATATAAATTTTTAAAAATTTAAAAATATAATTTTGCTTATTCAATCGTTTTTTTTATCAATAGGTTCTTAAATACATTCTTATTCAATTTTTTCTTCTAATTAATTAATTATTTATTTTGTTTCATGATATAAATTATATATATCATTAGCAACCTAAATATGACTCTGGTCAAGCATAATTCTTCTTCTTCCTTTCATATCTCTTTTAAATCTAAACAATACTTATTTATTAAACCTACTTCCAATAATAGCCTCATCATATCCTACTCCTTTATCAGTATTATCTTCCCATGTATATATTATATATATAAGTACTAATATTTAGAAAGCGAAAAATATCCATAATGCAATCATTCCTAACAAAAAAAAAGATATAAAAATAAGGTAAAATTTCCATCTTTATCTTGAAACTTAATCTTCTTCTTTTTCCATATCTTTTTAGTTAATCATTAATATTTCATCGTAATAATTCCATCTATAAGGACATTCTATATCATCTAATAATTCAGTTATTTTTAATAAACACTCAGTCTTTAATTATTTTATTTTTGGATTTAATGGTTTTTCTTTTTTTATTTAAAATTCTTTATTTTCTTATTTTTCTATCATTTTTTATTGATTATAATTTATTAGTTTTTTTTAATTTTTTTTAAGAAAAAATATAAAAAATTCATTTTTGTAAAAAAATAAAAATTTTAAATAAAAATAACATTATTTATATTTGATTTATAAACTTAAGTTTTTTTAAAAATTTTTATTTAAATTATGATAAAAAATAAAAATAAATATTAGTTATTATTAGAAAAATCAAAATTTATAAAATTAAGATTCTTTAAATCCTAATTATAAAGCAAGTTTTCTAACTAAATTAGTCATTGGCAAAGGTCCACAAGTGCAAAACAAAGTATCATTTGAAACTTCAGGGAAAGCTTAAGAAAGCATTTCAAGAGTAATAAAACCTGAAAAATGAGTCCAATTTTAAGGAGGCTTTTTAAAAAATTATATATATATATATTCAGATATACAATATTTAGATATTTTAATTATAATGCATACCGTATCTAAAGTATAATATAATTTAAGTTTTTTAGTTTCAGCATATTTTTCTAAATAATCTTTTATTAATATATCATCTTCTGATTTATTCGCAAATAACAAATAAAGTTGAGTATTATCTTTTAATTATTACAAACCTCCTATATAATTTAGTACATGGGAGTTATTCCTGTGCCTCCTGCTACCATACATACTTTCTTAAACTTCTTTTTTTCAATTAAACCTCCTTCTTATATTCTATCGATTTAGAAATTTCCGTTTCCTTTATACAATAATTTCCCATAAGGACCTGATATTTAGATTTAAGCTGGTAACTGTTTATATATTGATTTTTTTGATATATTTAAGTTTAATTTTTTTGTTACTTCAAGATTTTCTAACACAGGTGTAAGTTATCCTCCTTCAGGGAATTTGGGATGAATGTTAGGACGATAAATTTTAATTACTTATTCAAATTTTCCCTTAAATATTATTTTATATATATCCTATCTTTATTTTATTTTTTTATCATTACTTTCATTGTTGGAACTGATGTTGGTGTATATTTTCTTGTTACTTCTTCACCTTTTATTTAATGACTTTTTAAAAAAAAAATGAATAAATTTAAAAAAATTTTGAAGTTTTTTTTTTTTTAAAAAAAAATACTGTATAATATAATGTTAACCAATTTATATTCCAAGTGTTTAATTAGGGTCAGGCAATAAAAAAATAAAATTATATGTATCATGAGATAATTATTGTCTTTCAACTAAATTAACTTCAATCTTTTAATTTTTTTTTAAACCAAATAATACACCTATATTTATTTATTTTTAATTTATTTTTATAAAAATAGCTTTACCTTTAGGTTAAGATGGTTTAATTAAAAATGCCGATATAAAGGCAATTAATACAAACAAAAATAAAGTAAATAAATATTCTATCATTTAATTTTATTTATAATTTATAAAAAGATAATAAAAAAATAATAAAAATACAAAATAATATATGATATAAAATAAATAATTAATAATAAAAAAAATTAAAAAAAAAAATATTTATAAATTTTTGATAATTAAAAATTATTTTATTGCAAATAAAAAAAAATAACAATATAAAATTAATTATATAATTATAAATAAATGAAATTAAAAAAAAAAATATTTAATATAAAAAAATATTTGTAATATTAAAAAAATATATATATATATTGTGAGAAAAATAGATATATATATAAATATAATTAAATATAATATATATTATAAATATATTTATATGTATTTTTATATTTATTTATATTATTAAAATTTTCATAATATTTATTTTATATTATATATTTATTTTTATAGACACATTAATTTATTTTTTTATTTTATATCTTAACTATTTTAAATATATAGCCTTTTTTATTTATTATATATGATAATTTATTTTCAATTTTATTAAAAATATTATTTTTAAAAATATATTTTTTTTTTTATTTATCTATTTTATTTTCATATATATATTTTTTTTATATTTTTAATCTTTCAAATTTTTATACTTTAAAGTTTGAAAATTTATATTTTATCAATAATTAAAAATAATTTAAAGTTTTTTGATTAAAAAAATAAAAAATTATTACACAGAAATTATAAATAAATTTAAATTATATAAAATATTAATAATATTTTATAATATTATTTTTTTTAAAAAAAATTTTAATAATATAACAAATTTATTTCATAAATATATATTCATTTCTGAATTGTTATTAATTCCTAATTCTTTTAATCTCATTTCTTTTATTCTATCTTAATGAACTTTTACACTTTTATGTAATCTAAATTCTTTTGTTATATTTGGCTTTGTAATTATGTTTTATAAAATTTCCAAATAATTATTATTTTTACCTTTTTATTATTATTAAATTTAAAAAACAAATTTTTAATATGTTTTTTATAAAAAATATAAATATATTTAACTTTCCTCCTCTTCAAAAAGCTATTCTCCATACTTCAATTTTAAGTTTTATAATCTTGAAAAAAAAAAAAATTATGTATAATATAATAAAAGTAATTAGAAATAAATACAGTTTTATAGATCTTGCAAATAATAGAGAATTAACTCTAAACTTATTTAATTTTTCAGTTAACACCCCTAGTTTATTACAATCTTTATTTTAAATAATTGTTCTTCATTTGGTAAATATTTTTATTTTATTTTTTTACTATTTTAATAAGACTAAAGTTTTTATATAATTTTATCATATTCATTATTTGCTTCTCCTACAATTTATTCTTATTAAATAGTTTTTTTTCTAAGATAAAGTCTTTTAAAATCGCTTTAACTCTTGGATCCTTTTTACTAATTTTTTTGATAATTTAACTAATTTTCTTTGAATTCATTATCACTTTTATTATCTTCTAAATCATATTTATTTAAATTTTAATAGGTAAATTATTAAATGCTATTTTGTTATTTATGCAACAATTCATAATGTTATGTTTAATAAGATTTAGGATAATTTTTTAAAGCATTTTATTAATTGGCAATAATAAATCTTTCTGTGAAACCTCTTTTTTATTTTATAAAAAATTAAATTTTTTTATTAATTTTAAGAAATACGTTTATTTTTCTTATTTGCTTTTGCTCTGATTGTTCTTTCTATTTTCAATTTATTCTTCTTATGTATTTGTCATTTTTAAAAAATCATCTTCATTAAATATAAAATTCTTAGCAAGTTCACTTTTTCTAATAAAATAAATGAATATAATTTAAATATATATATTTTTTTACTTTATTGTTTTCTAGTTTTTTTTAGGCCTCTACAGAAAATTAGCTATTTATATTTATATATTAAAAATAATATATATATTTAAAAAACAATATTTAAAATTTAATATATATATATATATATATATTATTATAAACACCTTACAATATTTTTTCTTTTACACTTTCTGCCTTTTTTTTTAATTATTTTATTTTATCTTTTGTTTATTCAGAAAACCCTTTTTATTATTTATTGTCTATTTATTCAATTTTTTATTTAAAAAAAAATATTAAACACTTAAATTAAAATATATTTAAAAAAATCAAAAACCAATTTATTAATTGTTTATATGAGATTATATAGATTGCTTTTAAAATTTATTTTTTTAATTTTTATTAGAAGTTATTTATTCATTATTAGTATTATATGTTGACATAACTTATTATTTATAAGAATCTTAAAATTAATCTCCTTTTGTATTTTATTTTATTGAATCTTAATCATTATTAATAAAATCTGCATCTTGATTTTTATCTTTAAAAAAAATTATTCTGTAAAAAGTGATTATTTTTATTTATTTAAAAATTATTATTATTAAAAAGAATTATTAGTTTTTAATAATTCGTTTTAGAATTAAACTTTTTTATCTCTTTTTTATTAATATGATGTTCGTGATTTTTATTAATTTTAAATAACAGTTTTTGGAACTTTTAAGCTTTTTTATATATATTAGTGAAGAAACTATATAAATTAAAAAATTATTAGATTAAAATAAAAAATAATTAAAGATGTACTTTTTAGCAAGGATCTTCAAATTATCTTATTATTTATTCAAAATTATCACAATGTATATCATCAATGGATATATATTTCATATATTCTGATTATGGTAAACGATTATCAAATGCAACAATGGTTTATAAATTTCTCTAAAAAACATATTAATTCATATTACCTATAATACTTAATTTGAATTTTTTTTAATATGATAAATTGAATATATATGTTAATTTATATATATATATATATATATATATAATATATATATATATATATATATATATATTA